GACTCACACGCCCTCTCTCTCCGGCGCAGGTTCTACTTTTACCCACCGATGGGCGAAGATCTCATCGACCAGTTCTCTCCCTCAGCGCATCGTTTGCTGGGGCTCTCCATCGGTAAGTGCCTCGGCCTGTCCCAGCCCTTCTCCGACCAGCCTCGGGCCTCGCCTTGGAAGAGCAAGGCGGGAGCGTAAGAAGGGGACGGGCACCGTTCCGGTTTAGCTGCCGCGTGCTTGAAAGCTGTACTTTCCGAGGAGCTCCAGACCTGCCCCGCGCCAAGAGTCGTACGAGGGCTCGCCTGCTGGGGTGCCGGGGCGATGACGGACCAGACGGAGGCGTTGCCTGGAAATCCAGAGAAGCCCCCCCCAACTCTGGCCAGTCCGACGCCTCCTTTCTTCCCTTGTGAGGGGGGACCAGCCCAGCTGCAGCTTGTTGGGGCCCCGGGGAGCAGCCTCCACACTTATGTCCTGGCATCTGGCGGGGGGGGGCAGTTGGTGCCAGGCTGCCCCCAGGCTCCGCCCTCTCCTTTCCCTTCCTTGCGTATGACAGCAGGAGCACACAATCACTCCATTTTCCTGCTCCATGGCAGCAGCCGCTGCCTGAGATGGCCCCCTGCCCCTCTCAGCCCTGAAGAAAGCCTGCAGCTTGGTCTCCCCTTCATTCATCTGGGCTCCCCAGCCCCCTCCCCACGTCAACTGCAGGCAAAGCCCTGGAGCACCAGAAAGCAGATGTTCCCTAAAATTGATCCCTTTAGATAGGTTGGGACTGCACTTCCCAGGACTTCTAGACATCCGGAGGGGGCCCCCCTGGACTCCTCAAGGACAGCAAGTGGGTGGGAGGCGGGAGTAATCCATCAGTTACTCTTCCCAGTTGGGGGCTGGGGCTGGGGCCGGCAAGGAGGGGTGGACAGATAGCCAGAGTGGTGAGTTCAGTCACCTGCCATACCTGTGCTTGGTTTTGCACACGCGTGTCCCCCCACCAGCATTCAAAGGGAGCCTGATTGTCAACTAAGACTCCTTTAGTCCCCAGCTACTGCTCTTCTGGAAGAGCGTTCAATCCGTGCTCAAAAGCAGTCAGCACAGCAGCTGACCAGCATGGAAAGAGGTGTACTGTGAAAAGCAGAGAAAAAGTCAGGTTTGAACTCCTAGGATCCCTAGATATAAATACTTAAGTAGGGATTATTGGAAATTTGCTCCCTGATCTGCTAAACTCTCACTGGGGATCCCTGCCCTGCTAACAATTTTAACAATTTCTGTTGCAATGGCTTTTTGCTGTTATGTTGTTTTAAAAGTACAGCCTCAGGATAACACTTTGCAAAGCTGCAAAGAACTAAAAGGTTGCCTTAGGTTGTTTTAGGTAAAGGTCCTATGGCACTCTAGAGAAAGGAACTGGCATTGTGGGAATCCCTTCCATAGGCACCTTGTTATCTGCTCTCCTGGTCTAGGGCATTGATGCTCTGGACATGACCTACAAACCTTTTCCACCTGTGCTGTAATTTCTGGCCAATAAAACCTCCCTAGCATTCTGCCTCTGCCCGTCCGCCCTGCCCAGGGGCTTTCACGCGCTAACTCGAGGAGCTCTGTCCTAAGCTCTTGTGGGGCAACAACTGCTGGGATCACCTCTATAAAATACAGTGGTACCTCGGTTCATGAACTTAATTCATTCTGCAACTCTGGTCGCGACCTGAATCAAATTTCCCCGTAAGGTTCAATGTAAA